CTTTACACTTTTACCATAGGGTCCAATAACAGTCCAAATATCATTTTTCAAATCTAATTCCCGTTTATTACCAACAATCTTTGTAGTTTAGTAGATAAATATCATTGTTAATCTTTTTGTTAATTTAAATATAAGAAAAAATAAATACCATATATTGCTTATTTTTGGGACCCAAGTCATATTTAATTCCATTAGTAGACAAATATTTATCAGTAGAAACATGAACAAGGGCAACCTTCGAACCATTTACAATTAGTTTGTTCTGAAATTTAAAAAAGTTTCAGAATGAGCAGCCATAAAAGTTCATGATACGAAATTCTAATATATCTTATTTCCTCACTTCTTGTGCACATAAACGCCAATTGAAATAGCGAACATTGCTATTTGATAAAAATTGGTCATTTAATATTTTTTATATTTTTTAACCTTATTACCATAATTAAGTCCTACCTAACTTTGCCAATAAAACTATAGTGGCTTAATGCACGTCCGATATAGAGTGGTCCGTCATTGAAAATCACTTTTTCCGATTTAACATCCTGAATACCATAGAATCCGACCCATTCACCATCAATGTAGATGTCTAATCTCTTTTCGGAATCAGAAAGCGTATATGCTAGATGATACCATCTATCTAACAAAAGTCCGTCGCCGAGCTCTTCGATTCCTAAATTATTCTTTAATTTTCCAAAGAAGCGAGCGTGCAATGAGGATTTATCTGGTTTCAACACGAGCCTAGGCGTACGGATTAACCATTCGGTACCTATACAAGTAAGTGCATTTTATTTGAGAACAAGTAAACAAGATTCTAAGAGAAATAGCTAGTTCTACCTTTGTGAAATACAACAGCCCAATGGGGAGCATGGCTTTGAAGTTTTAGACGCAATGTCACTGAGAGCTCGTCTTTCACCACAGGTAAGTTAGTATGTTCAAAGACTCGTTGAGTTTTTTCGTTAAAGATAATAGGGTCTGAAATAAGCTCAGCCCATTCTTTCTTCATTTTTGTGGAAAATAAAATGAATAAAAATAGTCGATTGGTTATATAATAGAGTTTTTGCCAGTAATCCACAAGAAATTGTATACTTATGTGTGTTCAGGGATTTTTTTTTTTTTTTTTAATAAAGAAAATAAAAAATTTTGCTTACTTTAAATCCCTTAAACGGTAAGATTTGCAAAAGAAACACCATATTAAGAAAATATGGTTGGTCTATTTTTTTGGCGCAAATTAATTTCTTATTTATTTTTTTTTCCCCCAATTGGTGAGTTAAAATAAAAAACGAGTCATTAACCTTTAATACAAAAGGATTTTAATGTTAAATCTTAATTTAATTTCAGTAAGAAGTATAGTGACTCTCTCTACTTATTACATTAATACTCGATGCATATTATAACTAAACTCGTTGTGTAGAAGCAAGAATATGAAAACTCTTTAATCAAGCGAATTTCTCTCATGAATTTCATCGCATAAAGAAACTAAACTAATTAGTACATTAAGAAATTTGTTTTGTTTACTAGATAGGTTGGAACCGGGTTATGTAAAATCGGATCAAACCGGTTGTAAGTCTTGGGGCTACTCAAGACCTTAATCACACAACTCGCATCCAATCGCCTTTCGAGCCATTCTCAAAGCTGATATGAGAGAAAATGTTTATTTAACATTAGATTAATTTGTGCTATCGTACGCACATTACGAAAAGACCTCCTTTTATAAATTTACTAATTTCAAAAAACTATATCAGATCATTATTATCTATAAGAAATCGAGTATAATAGATAATTTTAAAATACAGTCTGATGCATAATGTTTATAATTTTGTAAATTTAAACAAATAGATTCGTAGTTTTCTAAAGCTTTTCTTAAAAAATATTAAATAATTAGTTATTTGTGTAACTTTTATGAGATAATCCTTCGTGAAATGGCGCAGCAAATAAAATTTTGTTTATAATATGTTGATATTTATCGCTATACAATATATTGTTTCATTTATCTCTTGTCACGTAATAATAGTACTACTTTAGATACGTTATATCAAATGGATATGAATAAAGTTCCACTGCAGGCTCAAGTTGAGTAAAATATATTTCGACTCAGTACTAACGGGGCGGCTTGAATTTTTTTATATTACATGAATTTATAACTTAAAATAGAAAATTTAATTAAATAAGAAATATAGATTTGCTACATTTCACATGATCGCTAAAGTTCGACGTAAAAATTTAAAAAGGGGAAATGCTTCACTAACAGAAAATAATGTTAGTTATGAAAAGGAAAGGTTTTTTAAAGAATAATCTTTAATTAATAATACATATTCATTGGAAACTCGCGTAGCCTAAATTTTATAATACGAACACAATTACCAATTTCATATTCATCAATTACTTTCGAATAAGGTTATGATTAAAGATCTCAGGTTTCGACGATGTGCATGAAACTCTTTATAAATACTTAACGAAAATAAACAATTTTCAGTATTAAAATAAATTCAATTTCTGATCTTTTCTAGCGGTGGGAGTACTTGGTTTTATAAATGATTTTAAATACAATGTAATACATAAAATGCTAACATAGTGATTAAATTGCGAATGCAGAGGATTTTGTCTATGTTTTGTCAATCAATACAAGAAAATAATTTTTTTGCATTTAATAATATATAACATTTATTGCGAGTGATACATGCAGTATAAGCAATAATAATGATAAAGACATTTTGAATATTACTAAGATCAATGTGGCTAACACGAAATAAAGCATTAAAAAGTGAACGAACTGCATTCGCTAAAAATAATTACATGTTTAAATAAGATGTTGATGAAAATTAAATAAATTAGATTCTCTTTTTGTTTCAAAGATTATCAAAATCAAAAAAATTAAAAATCAAAAATCGTAAATTTAAAAATAGTGACTTTAAAGTTCCAGCAGAGTCACCAACTATATAGTAGCAATTGCACAACCTAAAGCATCATGTGTAACTGGATTTCCAACAGCAGCTCCCAATAAGTACGGATTAGGTAAATCGGCTGGTGCTTGAATTTCCACCGTTTGAGTATATTGTTCACCAGCTTTAATTGGACATCCACTTCCAGTACAAGCAGGAACAATAACGGGATCTCCTATGATTCCTTCACCTGGCTGAGCAAATACAACCGCAAGTATGGTATCGTTGGTAACATCTTTCGAAAATTTTCCGGAAACAGTAACTGTATCCTTTTGTCCAGCGACGGGAGGATCGGGTGAAAGTGACACTTGAAGTAAGGGAGGTGGGGTCGTTGAACCTTGTGGTGGGGGACATGCATCAAATTTGGTGGTTCTTTTAAGAAGTTTATGTGGAATTGCATTGACCATGGTGAGTGTGACCAATAAGAAGAATGCAAAAATAAATTTTCGGTTCATGATTATGGATTCTTTGAGAAGTTGACTTTGTTGAGTTTTTATTTTTTGGTGAATATTAGTTTTGTTAGTTATTAATTTCTTAGATTCAGAGTAAATTGAAATCAGTGCTTTTTATAGAAAAAAAAAAAGTCGAATTCCTTTAAAAATTGTAATTTCTAGTTACAGTATTCTGTTTCCATTCTTTCATGTGATTTTCATCATGATCAACGCTTGTCCAAATTTGGTCTTCATTCTATTTTGTCTAACAAACTTTTAAACTTGCTAAAGTAGAATTTCAATTTTTAAATATTTGAAACTAAAAAATGAAAACCATCCATAATTAATTTAAAAGATGAGCTATCATTTTAAAAGCTGAAATCATTCTTTATATAGACTATCATTTTTAAAACCAGTATCATTCTTAATATAGTAACTTATTTTAACGATCGATCACCCTTCACAATTAATTAAATCTTATGGTAATATTGGAATGATCCATCGGTTGCTAAAAAAAAAAAGGCAACTAAAAATTAACTCACCTGACACCCGCAGAAACGATATAATTCGAAGGAAGCAATATTTTTTTTTGAAGAAAATCTAACGCTGCGCCACGATGCGCGAAACATCTTATTTTTTCTGAAAATATTTCACAAGAATTTTAAATATTATTATTCTTCAGAATTTACAAGTAATACAAAAAACATTTTATAGTAAGTTATACTAGTAGTACAAATAATTGAGGAGGCCAACATATGTCGAGCAATAATTCTACGAAAATTCACTTTCTTTTCTCTGTCGTACCCAACTGTTGCTATATTCTGCTTGAAGTAACCCTATTATATTTTAAAACACGTTGCTTTTTTGATCGTTTATGAAGAATTCAAGTTGAACAATACCTACATAATATTCACATAACTGTAATCAAAGAAGTGGTACCATGCTTTAGTTCTACGAAAAATAAATGCAATAGATAGTAATAACCATGAAGAAACGAAATGATATGATAATTAGTGCTCCGAGACGATCGACCGACTCGAATTTTTTCTCGAGTCGGGACTATCATTTTTATGACACGAGTCCTAATTCAAAAAAAACACGTTGGGTCAGGGTCACGTTTTTTGCTTGACCCGGGTCTACCCGGTACCCGGATGATCAGGAGATCTGATTTACAGCAAAATTCAAAAATACAGTATAATGGGGTTTTCGGGTTTGTCGTTTTCGGAAAACAATAATAAAGCCGTGACACTTATAATGATGCATACGTATGTAAATAAACGTTGGTTTTTTTTTTTATTTTTCTGATTATGCCGAAATTAAAATAAATGAACATTTCCGTTCACTGAAAGGAAATTTTAATAGTTATCAACAATTTTTAGAAGAGCATTACTCATTAGAGGTTGTTGTAGATCACCAAAAAAGTTTTATAAGATTTGGTAATATCACGTATAACATTTTAAGGTCTATATTAGAATGATAGGCAAATTATGTATTATATATTCCTCAAATTTGGTATAGAACTATTAAAAAGTAATATCAAAATAATTGAAAATTTTAGAAAATTAGGCGCTATTAAGGAAATTCAAAATTGGTAATGGTTAATTATATTTTATGAAAAAATTTTAGTATAGAATTTTGTTTGTAATCACTAAATAAAAATATGACAATGCAAAAAAAAAATATTTAAATAAAATTTATTTAGGCAAATGTATATATTGAAATCAATAAATTTTATAATATAGGTTAATTTATTTATTTTTTTTTTATGGTTACAGCTGTAAATTTTAATTATTTTAAGTTAGTGAATATAATGTTGAATTTAAAACTATTCTAAATAAATAATTCAAATCTATTTGGTTTAGATCTATTCAAAGACCAATTTTCATAATTATAAAAAAATTTTTTTTTTTTGCAAATAATTCTACTTTCTGTGTAAATCTGATACTGTTTAAAGTATATATTTAGTTGATATATATTTTCCATATAAATAATATGATGTTGATCAGATATCCTTTTTATTAAAAACTATTTAACCAAACACGATGTCCATTTTCTTTTTACAAATAACTGTTGACTTACTTAAAATTTTTATATTTTCTGTCTTTGTATACTAATAAAATTTGTTCTTTTTTAGCTAAATTATAATATAATTTATTTTTGACAAAATTAATAAAATCAGATATTCTTTTTTAGAACTTTATTGAATCAAAAAAAAAAAATACAAATATCCTTTAACCTTTTGATAAAATCGATTTTTTTTCCAAGAATCATGGAAATAATGAAATCAGATTATTTTTCAAAAATCAAGACTACTTTTAACGAAAATTGAACATTCTTTAAGGATTAAACTCAATCAAATTCTTTTATAGGTTTCTTTTAAAATTTAATAGTACAAATGTATATGTATTTATATTATATAAAGAGTCAAGAAAATAAATGTAACCATTTGTATTCTTAATGATGGTAGTGTAAATGTACATTCTATTCTAACTTTTAAATAAATTATGAAATATTAGATTCACATGTTTGCTTACCAATATGTTCATGAAATAAGAATAATATATGCTACAAACTGACAGTTTTTATATCGGTTTAAAACTCCGAGTTGGATCAGGTCAAATCTGACTTTAAATTTCATTTGAACAGACCGACATGGAAATCACATGACTTAGTCCGATTTCGGAATGATCAAAAAAAAAAATTTCCGAATTTATCATCTTAAGAAAGAATGAATGAAAAAACAAAGGGAAGCAAAAAATAAATATTTAATTGCTGCGAACCCAAAAACAAAAAAAAAAAAAAATTAAAGCGATCAAAGAGAAATTTAATTATTAAAAAAGATTTTTATAAAAAAAAAAAAAAAGAAAAAATATAATCATTCGATCCACAAAGTATATCCTGTTATAGTATAAATATTCCCACAGAAGAAAATCTTGTCCAAAATTTTTCACCTCTAACCATTTCAAGAAAAATATTAAAAACATTTTGATTTTGAACTTTCGATGAAAATAAATTCTGACTAAATTAATTTTTAGGCACAAAATTATACTAAAGTGTCCCAGGCTTACAAATACTTTCCCACGAAGTTATTTTCGTCCCAAATATACCAAACTTGGACGTTGCAGATCAATTAACAATGATCACGATACAGTCGCAAACTTGTCTAATGCAGTCACATATTTGTCTAAAAACTTGTCTAATAGAATCGATGGTTTGACCATCACTATTCAAACAACTGCGCAAAACACGTATGTATTTTTTTTTTGTTTATACCATAATATAAAGAAAAAGTTGTTTCTAATTGATATTTTTTATATTTTAGGGACACACGAAATCTCGCGCGAATTTTTAATTCGCGTTGATCCAGTCCAGATTTGTCAACTTTCAAAACAATTAAAATCATTTTTTTTTTTACTAAACCAATCAATCATATATAAAGGCCATGGCATTTTACTGGTACTGTTGAATTTCGACGTAAACGATTTGCAAAATACATGAGTCCAATTAAATAATAGTGATTATTACATTCAATATATATTTTCGCTTTTAGTATTGCTCATGGTGCATGAAATTACGGCTAATCGGTTACTCAACTTGGGACAGCACTACACTACATGTTGAGTACCTTACTACATATGAAACTTTACAAGTAAAGATTCAATTAATTATGTATTAATCCCGTAAACTCGAATTTTGAATAATTTTTTTAAAATTATTCTTTTGAGAACATCAAAAAAAAAAAATGTTGGTATTAGATTAGATACAGAAAATATATATATATATAAATAAATATTTGTTAAAGCTTATAGTAGTACTGATAATGAAAGTAAGATTCTTGATGTTATTGGTTATATCCTATAGTTTTTATAGCGGTAGCGCTAACGTTTCCCAAATCAAATAATAAATAAAAAGAAAGAAAACGTTTAATGATTTTTAAAACTACTGTCAGCGGTTAAAACCATTAATAATTACTAACAAAAACTTGTTTCATCTAGGTAATTAATTTATTAAAACTTCCATCATCAACAAATTTTCCTACGTTACAATCATCAATCCAATGAGGTTTACTTCACCATTTAACAATAGACTAGATCAAGCCATTGCAGCCTCGGTCATCATTGAATGTAAAGAATTCCCCTGGAATAAATAAACTCACGGCTAATGTAATTCCTAATATAAACTTGCTCATATCAAATTTAATACGTTTAAATTGTTCTTGATAAATCAATAGCCGCCACAACTGTTATCAACAGGATATCTGCCGAGTATTAATAAATTTAAGTAAGTAAGGAATAATAATCAAAATGCTTGTCCAAAAGCCTGTTGTTTGTAAAGATAAATAATATAGTATACCGAATATTAGTGTATTAAGCAAAACTAATTAAGTCTGAAACATTTGCCAAATTATCAGTTTCAACTTATATTGATTGCATCGACACTAAACTCATGTGTATAAGTTAAAATCATTGAGATTTATATTTTATATTAATTCAAAATAACAAACTATTATTTTTAATTGAATTTTTTGATTTTATCAATTCTTTTTTTTTCAGATGTATTCTTTTTTTTTTTTTTTAATTCCGAATTTTTTTAATTCTAGCCTTCGCGATTAAATTAAAACATTAAATTAAAAAAATTAAATTAGAAAAAATAATTAAAAAAATTCACGGATATAAAAAATTAATAAATTACATTTTTTAAGAACAAAAAAAAAAATAATTAATAAATAAGTTAAAAATTAAAAAACATAAAAAAAAATAATTAAAAAAAAAAATAAAAAAATTAAATTAAATTTATCATTAAAAATTGAATTAAATAAATTATATAAATTACGAGTTAATGTTAGAATTAGGATTAGGGTTATAGTTAGAGTCAGAATATGGTTTTAAAAGATGAGTTAGCATTAAGATTATCGAATATGGTTTTATATGATGAGTTAGTATTAAAGTTAGTTAAGATTAGGGTTAGGGTTAGAGTTAGGGTTGGATAATTTATAAAAAAAACATCAATAAGTAATAGTTACTCGGCACGAAGTGCCGAGTAAATGTTGTATTTGTTTGCAATAAATGATTGTGGAATTTGCTGAGCTCCGCTCAGCAAATTCCACTTGATCATATTCTTATTACAAATACATTGTATTATTGGCCAGTCTATTAGGATCATACTGATTTTGATGGACTGATATTCTTTGCCAACGGCTAAATATCAAATATAAAGACTTTCATACTTTCAAATTTTTTTTTTATTTTTTAACGATGTGGTACTGCCAGTAACATACTTTCAAATATTATTTTTATAACAATATTAATTTAAAGCATGATCTTGTGTGACTGACGTAATAAACTAGTTATTGGTCAGGGTGGATAAAAAATCGTGTCACACAGTCCAAAAATAAATTCGATTAATTCGATTAATTGATCGACTAATAATCTGATCACTAAAACGTATTTTAAATAAATTAATTAATGTTCCGAGATCGACAGATACAATATAAATTATGTAAATCGTAAAATTAAAAGTAGTTGATTTGTTGTGACTAAAATTGATTTTCGTCTGAAGTTGGAATTCAGACGATCTTCGGATGTCTGAAATTGAGATTCCAAGTTCAGTTAACTGAAATTGGAATTCCAATTTCAGACACCCTTTTTTGTTTATCTGAATTCCAACTTATAAAAAATTATTTTAACCAATCACAATATGCCAATTTTATTTTTTCGCAATTTCGTAAATACAAATTTTTTATTTTCTGACTTTAGCTTTTAGCTGAATATTAATTAAATTTCGCGGCATTTATTTATTAAATTTTGTAGCATTAATTTCCAATATTTTATTTTTTTTTTTATATTTTCTTTCAGCTGTCTAATTATTTGCTGTTACAGTTATTTTAAAATGTTTAAGCCATTTCTATAAATCTTTATTATCATTTTTCCAAAATAGTTGCA